CCTTCGGTGTAGGGGCCCGTGGACTTTCTTCAACCAGTCCCTATGGTAGTTGAGCCACTGGACATTGAACTCAGTCTGTTAGTGCTTCATTTGTTTGGTAATACTGAACAGTTATGGTCGGTGGGTGATTTTGATCTCTTCTTTTAATCTGTAAACCATCGAGGTACCGTGTTCAATTATTTCAATAGCAACATAACTGTTTGTAATTGAGTCTCTCAAGTCAAGGCTTAAGTATTGTCATTGGTCGTTCGACAGTGCCAAGCATCAAACTGCTCTGAAAGCTGAAAACAAAATTGCTTTTACAAACGCTACACCGTTCCGAAACATAGACAATTGGTCGAAATGACTAGTATAATGAGCCACCCTATGTAATTGTGGTTTGATCTATATATATATATATAACACGTAAAAAGAGTTGTCTCCCTGTATGATTAATGATTAATGGTATGTGGTGTTCTTGTAAGAGTTAAGTGTAGACCACCGAAATGAATAAACGTTATTGAATTTCAAGAACAGAACGAGCAGGACGGTGGCAGGAGATGTTGACAGTACGATCACTGTTACCATTGTCAATGGTCTGCCAAGCTGTTACAGTGGCCATTCGTAATCGGTTCTGCAGATGTTGGCGTATCATCTTGTCTGTGTGTTGTAATTCTCGGACGACCATTACGCGGACGGTCGTTGGTGGTGTTGTAGCGATATATCGTTCTGACGTTGATATTGAATGCAACGACCTATGCACTCTGTCCTGCTTGCAGTCTTCTGATCGCTTGTTGTCTCTCATTTCCTGATAATCTTGGCATGGCTGATAAATCGAAATGACGAATGTAAGCCTGACGGTTTTGATTGTCATTTATACCCATACCGTCCATAATATTCACGTGCATCATAATTTTGACGAGACGTTTCAGCAACTGGGTCCCATTTCCCTTTTCGCATACAGCGTTTGGGCAAACCACTACATTTTAAACACAACTGTAAACTGAACTTTAAGGCAACAAAAGGGAACAGTAGAATATTAAATCTAAATTAGCTGATTAAAGAACGCGCCAGAGTGTCAGTTATTTTTTTCCAGTATTTTTAGAAGTGACGTTTCTTTTGCCTTTCAATATAATATTAACTTTATAATTGATCATGTTTCATAGGTAGGATAAATATTCTTATTCGTATTCTCGAAATGCGCGTAAATGGCGATCTAAATGAGCAGCCCTTACAATAAGAATTTGTCATGCGTAGAATTTCACATTGAAAATACCATACTTACGACAAAACTTGATTGTAAGATTTATTTGAGAAAGGGGTCCTGTGTCTATTGGACTAACAAATGAGTGTATGTAATACATAGTATTGTATTGTATAAAACCTGATAAATGTTACAGTGACATAATATCTTTGTAAGTTAATCATTATAGAAATATATCCATGTAGTTCTTTATTTAACAGTGTAACAATAGATCACAACATGTAAGGGACAGGCCCGTAGTTAGCCCAGGGTCTCAGGGGAGGGGGGGGATTTTTTTTAAGGGGGGGCTCAACTATAGTGACTCAACAAGTCATTTAAGTCTAAATTTTTCAGAGGGGAAGAGGTCAAAAGTTTCTTTCAAAATGCCAGCGAGGATTATAAATGAGCTCATCATATTATGATACTCTTGCAAATTTAGTGTTTCGTGAAGGTAGATAAAAACAGTCTATTGAAACTATAAATTACTGGACTAAAATAATAGAATTATAAAATGACTGTACCTGTTCACTGCTTTCTACTAAATATTGTGACTTTTTCTAAGAAGGAAGTTGATTAAAACATCATTTCATTGTACGCAATTAGAGTTAATCACGTGGTTAGGTAACGCAAGAAAGTCGGTTTAAGAATTGAATGATTGTATAAGTTGTCGCGATAGAGTACTGTCTGTCCAAACTATGCATGTTATGTCTATAGAGGGCACTTTCCCCAACTATTTCAAGTTTTGTCGCCCAACTATACATGTTGTCGTTATAGAGTACTGTCTCCAACTATAAACGTTGTCATTATAAAGTACTGTCTCCAACTATAAACGTTGTCGCTATAGAGTACTGTATCCATCTATAAACGTTGTCATTATAAAGTATTGTCGTCCAACTATACACGTTGTCGCTATAGAGAACTGTCTCGAACTATACACGTTGTCGCTATAGAGTACTGTACCAAACTATACTCGTTGTCATTATAGAGTACTGTCTCCAACTACACACGTTGTCGCTATAGAGTACCTCCCAACTATACACGTTGTCGCTATAGAGTGCCTCCCAACTATACACGTTGTCGCTATAGAGTACTGTCCCCAACTATACACGTTGTCATTATAAAGGACTGTCCCCAACTATACACGTTGTCGCTATAGAGTATTGTCGGCCGACTATAAACGTTGTAGCTATAGAGTACTGTACCAAACTATACACGTAGTCGCTATAGAGTACCCCCCAACTATACACGTTGTAGCTATAGAGTACTGTCCCCAACTATACACGTTGTTATTATAAAGTACTGTCCCCAACTATACACGTTGTCGCTATAGAGTATTGTCGGCCGACTATAAACGTTGTCGCTATAGAGTACTGTACCAAACTATACACGTTGTCGCTATAGAGTATTGTCGGTCGACTATACATGTCGTTATAGAGTACTGTCTCCAACTATAAACGTTGTAGCTATAGAGTACTGTACCAAACTATACACGTTGTCATTATAAAGAACAGGGGAAACTTTTTGACGATGAAAGATTCAATGAAATTCCCACTCCAAATTTTTCAGAAGCGTGTGCCAACGATTCTCGATGTGGCTTTTTTGTATCATGGCCTGTAGATAAATGCAATCTCTTTTTAAAACCACTCTACACAGAGTTTGTTACAACTTCTACACTTTCCCAATGTATACAGAGATGTAAAGATGATACAAGATGTTTGATATTATCTTTCTCAATTGACTATTGTGCTTCATACAGTGCCAACTAATTTTGGAGTCGATCTTGCATCGAATTTCGCGTCAAGGATACATCTCGCTGCGCGTTTTTGAAGTTTAAATAAAGAAGCAAGTTTATTTTGGAACCATTACCCCATACAATGTTACAATAATCTAAATTAGATCAAATGTATGCATTGTAAAATAAAATACATTGGTTTAAATCAAGGCTAATTTTTATTTTATTTAAAAGGTATATGTAAGATGATATAAAGGAGGAAATTTTATTTTTATGTTTACCACAGTCCAAGTGATCATCTAATGTTACACCTCGAAATACTGCTTCAGAGACATTTTGAAGAGAGTCAAAACTTTGTCACGTTCTTTTTCAGTTTTTATAAGCATGCTTTTTGATTTGTTAATGTTCATTACCATACCATTATTGTAACACCATTGGTTGATAATGTCTAAATCTTCCTGCAATAATCTTTGAATACTGTCACGAATTTTTACCAGAAAGACGTATCTGCAAAACTTTCTGGCGTTGAATTTTTAGTGAAAAGTGGCAGATCGTTTATGAAAATCAGAAAAAGAAGGGGCCAAGTGTAGATCCCCGTGGGACCCCATATTTAACCACCCTTTAAATGGATTTAATGTTGACGGTTATTGAGATAGTAGTTTAACAAAATCTTTGAATGGCATTTAGCAATTGTGAGTACGATATATAGACACAGCTTTATGGAACAACAATCACTGGTTGTTTTATGCAACGTTTCGACGTGTTTCCCCCGCCGTCCTCGGGCACATAATGAGAAGAAGTGACGAGCAAACTATATATACATTAATGCTTATTATCAAGAACACACAAGAGATAAATGGTTTATTGATACATTACATTAAATTTTAACAGGTACAATAAGAGGAGGACGGGGGAAACACGTCGAAACGTTGCATAAAACTTTAACCAGTGATTGTTGTTCCATAAAGCTGTGTCTATAGTAGTTTAACAGTTGAATTGAATTTGAATGGAACTTATATAACTGGAGTTTTTCTAATAGCAATCTGTGATCAATAAGATCAAAAGCCTTACTAAAGTCAAGGTAGACGACGCCTCGATCTAAGGCTTCTAACCAAGAGTCGGTTACCCTTACTAATGCTGTTGTACATGAATGATAGTCTCTAAAGCCTGACTGGTTTGTGTTAAATAAGTGATGCTTATTCAGAAAATTTCTTATTTTTAAAGATATATGTTTTTCAAATATTTTTGAAATAGTAGGAAGAATCGAAATGCATTCTTTTGACTGTTTTTTATGTATATGTCTTGCCATTTTATACGTTATAGTAATCAATTCTACCATTGTCTTTTGAAAATAGCGAACTCAATTCAAAACCATTCATCTACAAAGATGCTGGTATTACTTCAACACTTTTCCAATGTATACAGAGATGTAAAGATGACACTTCACCACGATATATGATAAATTCTGGATTCTTAATGCGAAGGAGGGGATCGTTTTTATCACTATAGTCTCTGACATACAGACTATTCCTGGATGATAGAGGCTATATAATCCCACTAAAAGTTAGTGGCCACGTTAAAAAAAGCGAATAAAAAACGAAACGAACGTTTGGTCTAAGATTTATTATTCTACCTTATCATCATAATAAAGTATTTTAAAATTTTATGTTTCATCTTTTGCCTTCGGTCTATTACTACAGGATGTTTCGAATTTTTAACTTCCCCCCCCCCCCCCCCTCCTCATTCATCATAAACTAAAGTGATTCAGAACAGGTCTCTATTTAAATTTCACTTTGCACAATAGCTGAGAGTCACACAGCATTTCCCATCTTCAGTCCTACAAGTTTGGAAACAGTGTGCAAACTTATGCAGGAATCTTAAATGGCTGTGATTTAGGGTATGTTTTCATTGCTACACTGCAGCTCCAGTATATAGGATACCGGAACAAATCCGTCATAAAGAGCTAGATATTTCAATGTAAATGTTGGATCTCTATTGAATCGGATTGTCTGTCCACTACCGATCTGATTTCCGACTCCAAACACAACGTCTAGTGACGCCTCACTCCATGTCAACCAGAATGCTTTAAACCGTTCCGGCTCTAACATAAAGTTGTTATCGTTAGTTATAGCTTTAAATCCAGCTTTCGATTTTGCTCCAGTCCACGTGTTTCCCCCGCCCCCTATAATTATTTCATACACAAAATTGTTAGGGTGGGTTTCATTAAAAAGTCCGATAACTCCATCATTTCCACCTTTAATCCAGATCATTTTACTGTTCTGATACTGTACGTTATGGAATTCTGTAAAAGTCCTGTCGCTATTTTGAGGCAGTTTGATTATTCTGCTGGTAAGTGTATTCATTATCACAATAATCATGAAAATAACACGAACTAGAGTAGCGTTGTTGAAGAACATTATGATCCTTGAGTATATCACAATATAAACACCAATATCTGTTTCTCTATGACACTGAAACTTTTTCTGCTCAGTCTATTTCTGCGGTTTCAGTCTGGACCCCAAATCATTTACCAATTCTTAACACACTATTTCTATTTGTTTCATGATGGACACAATTTATCATCATAAACTCTCACTTTCTATCCGTTTTAATCCGAACTAAAATGTTTCTGTTTTTACTGTCTTTTATCAAACTGTATGGAAATTACACAACGTTTCAACAATTTACATTCCAATCATCAGTTTATATGGTAAACAACTCCTGAGTTTTATTGTACACAATGTTTCACCAGTTTACATCATCAGTTTATATGGTATATTTATCCGAAGTTTTAATTAACACAACGTTTCAACAATTTACATTGCAATCATCAGTTTATATGGTAAACTTCTCCTGAGTTTTATTGTACACAATGTTTCACCAGTTTACATCATCAGTTTATATGGTATTTTTATCCGAAGTTTTAATTAACACAACGTTTCAACAATTTACATTGTTATCATCGGTTTACATGATAATCTACTCCAGGGTTTTATTGTACACAGCGTTTCAACAACTTACATTGTAATCATCAGTTTGTACGGTTAACTACTTCTTGATTTTATTGTACACAACGTTTCAACAATTTACATTGCAATCATAATGTGCATATAACAGTTTGTGTTTTATATTTTCAAGCGAACGAATCCTTGATATATAGCAGCACAATGAGCCCACGCCTTGTTAGATTTTCTCTTTCCCAGCAAACAAACAAAATTCCATAATTTGTCTCATAAAGGTTACAACAAAAGCAAAGTTACTTAGAAGTCTGGTTGTTTACATTTTAACCAGTCTGGTTGATTGATATTTTCTTTCATGTCTTTGTTTGTTTCTGTAAGTTGGATTTGTATCATAATTAACAAACGTCTGTATGCTGCATATTTCATACATCCATTCTCATTCTAATGTCATTGAGCTTGTTAACTACTGTAAACGTTAAAGGGATTTTTTGAAGAAAAAAAAAGTAAGTTACACTGATAGCAGTAATTTGCACCGATCCAATTTCCAATTACACGTCTGTGATTCCTGCAATTCCACTCCAATTAGGATCTAATTGGTCCTAACGATTGGTGTCACTAAAAAACACATGGAGGCTCATATCTCGACGTGAAGCTGTGAACACTTACTTAAAATTCCCGATCCCGAAACTAAGGCATTGGTCAAACATATAGCGAATCAGTCCGTTTAATCTTGTAAATATTCACAGTTAATCACACTTCTGAGTCTTGGAATTTCAACTCAGCATGGAAATGTTATTCCTATTTCCTAACTCTACAAGTACAAGTTTGTAAAAGTCTACAAAACACCCAAGTCCAAATACTGACAAAAAAACATCATAAGAGCACACCCTGTTTCTCGTCTGTGATTAGACTGTGATATGGACAAAGAAATTCCTCTATATATCTGATCTACTTAGAAACAAATAATCTCGCTTCAATAACCTTCTCTATAACAATCAAATCTATCAAAGAAAAAATATTATTTATTTATACCTTATTAATGGGGTGCATATAGTCAGTGCCTTTAATGGGGATCCTCAGAGGTTTTCTAGCCTTTGTAGAAAAAATCATTTCAACATTTGTCAACTACAATTTTTCGTTTAGTGTCTGCGGTTTTATGAAATTGCACAAAATTTGTCCAGATTATGATGTCACTATCGTTAAATCCATTCAACTTTAATTGTAACTTTTGTATCCATTCCACAATACGAATGAATGTAGCGTATAGCCGTTATTAGTCATGAAGGGATAGTAAAGAGATTTTCAAAAGAGATTATGTGTATTGTGGACACTGAAAGCATCAATTTGCATCATTCCAATTGTCAACGAGATGTCTGTGGTTTAATCCAAATCTACTAAAACTAAGTGTTTGAAGACGTCACTAATCGTAAATTTTGCGATGTGTGACGTCATCAAACACTTTTTTTTTAGAGACGAAGGCCTAAAGTCCTCCCACTTTGTACGCTATTGCTTAAAACGCTTAGTTTTAGTGGAAATGCAAAAACCACAGACACCTGACTTAACATTGGAACGGTGTAAAATTAGATGCTATCAGTGTCCCCGATACGCTTAAAAAGCTTATAATCTCTTCAAAGGAGGTGCTGAAATTTCATTAACAATATAAATACTTTGGAAATACATTATGATTCGGGACAAACGCAACCCAAAACTAACCAATGATATTTTGTGCTTGTGAAGGTAAACTAAGAGTGGTAAATGCGAAAACTTTTTTTGTCTTTCAAACAATACTTATTATTTTAGATATTGCGTATAATACACCCACCCCATACTATTTTAAACAACGTGCCATCTGGCAAGATATTGAATACATGTAAACAAAACAATTACCATTAGAATAAACAAAGTTAATGATAATGATAATTTGATAATAATGATAAGGATGATGATGTTAATGATAAGGCTAAGGATGACGATAATGATAAGGCTAAGGATGACGATAAGTATAAGGATAAGGATAATGATGACGATAAGTATAAGGATAAGGAAAATAATAATGATAATGATAATGATAAGGATAAAGATAATGATAAAGATGACGGCAATGATGACGATAATGATAAGAATAAGGATGACGATAAGGATAAGGATGACGATAAGGATAATGATGACGATAATGATAAGGATAATGATGACGATAATGATAAGGATAATGATGACGATAATGATAAGGATAATGATGACGAGAATGATAAGGATAATGATGACGATAATGATGACGATAATGATAAGAATAAGGATGACGATAAGGATAAGGATGATGATGACGATAATGATAAGAATAATGATGACGATTATGATAAGGATAATGATGACGATAATGATAAGGATAATGATGACGATAATGATAAGGATAATGATGACGATAATGATAAGGATAATGATGACGATAAGTATAAGGATAAGGAAAATGATAATGATAATGATAAGGATAAAGATAACGATAAAGATAACGATAAAGATGATGATAAAGATGACGATAACGATAATGATAATGGTGGTGATGATGATGATGATGTCGATGGTGATGATGATGAGGATGAGGATCGGGATGATGCTTAGGATGATGATTTCCTGTTTTCATGCCCCATGTCAAATGTTTGACAGACCATAAAATCGCGATTAATTTGTCATATTTTATTTATAGTCTCGATTGACAAGAGAATTGAGAGTAACAAAAGCATTGTTTGATATTGGTCAAGCGGGACCAGATATATATTGATCTCTCTCCCAGACTGAGCACCATTCTCCTGCCGGCAATTAAAGGTGTAATGAAAAGTGACATTACTAGCCATTGAAAGCAAAGAAATCCAGAAAGACCTGACTTCAAGCAAATACCAAGAGTTCATAGAGGCCTTGCTATAAATCCGGCACTTTAATATCAGATTATCAGGTTTTTTTTTTGGGCAACACTGTTCTCCAACGAAAATTGTTGAAAAATTGAATTGTTTTGGTGCATTCTGAGACATATTTGGTGACAAAAACGCATAAAAATTATACTCTTTGAATTTCTTTTTTAAATTTGCTTAAAATAAAACGGGGGTACAATTGGGGGTGCAAACCATCTATACTAGGGGAAGAGGGCAAATGAACTCCCACTGGTGCCGACTTAGTATCTCATCTCAGGGTACTTTCTGTCAGTGATCAAGGTCGCTCATAATTACTGGGATTCAAAATGCTGCACGCACTGGCGTATTTAAGCATATGGTAGCTCCCAGTCTCCTGGCCTCAAGGGGCTTCGGCAATGAGGGTTCCGATTCACCCCCTAAGGTATTTTCCAGTAAACCCCTGCTTATGACATCTCTATCAAAAAACTACTATTGATATATTAGTACATTTGCGATGGTGATGTCATAAAACGCCTAATTTAATTAGAATTGCAAGATCCACAGGCGTCTGATTGAAAGTTAGAATGCTATCAGTTTCCCTTGTGCACATCGAACTTTTAAAAATTCTCGTAACAATCTATAGAATGTTTGTATCAAGTTATTCCAGTTCAAGTAAAAAGTCTATAGAGAATAATTGATCTTAGTGGGACAATACCAAAAAATATAGCATGGAGTGTCATATACATTATTCATTGGTTATAAGATATTCCATATAGAGTTGATTGAGTTTCCTGACGGCTTGATAATGGTTCCAGCTTATAATAATAATAATAATAATAATAATAATAATAATAACAATAACAATAATAATAATGAAAATTAGAGAAAAATTAGGCTCAAGGCTTTATTAGATCTAGATCAAAGCAATTTTATTTTTCTGACAAAGCTGATCCTTCATAGGGTTATATGTTTCACCGACTAACACGACGAAAGCTATTTGATAACAGATTCTATGTGACTCAACAAGTCATTTTAGATATCTAAATTTTTCAGGGTTGGGGGGCAAATTTTTCTTAGGCCCTAATAACCACCCTCTCCCTAATAGCTACAGGTCTGCAGTGGATACGTTTCTTTTAGGATTTAATAATAAGAGATCATTTATATGATACGTTATTGTACATATACAAAAGACTCCCTTGTGTCTTGCATAGAATTCAATTAAAGTAATAACTTGAAATACTATTTTTAAATTTTACTAAAGGCGTTTCAAAAAAAAATGGAGAAAAATAACCAGTATAAAAACATTGCTTGACAAATCGATTACGCAATTATTATCATTAGGGAATTGACGACTGAGAAATAGATATTATTTTACTGAACGTGTCAATAGGAGCGGAGACAATAGTTTTTGTTTTTGCGATGAATTGAATGGATAAAAAACTAGAGAACATCAACATCTCAATATTAAGTTAACTAATTCAGATTAAAGGAATTGTTAAGAGGTTTTCTAAATTTTATATGTGTATCGAATTGCATCATTCATATTTTCAATCAGACGTTTGTGGGTCCTGCAATTCTACTAAAACTAAGTGTTTAATGACGTCACTAATAGTAAAATATGCTTTATCACAGTCATATAGGTCTTCTCGATTAATGACGTCATCAAACACAGGAACCACAGGCGTCTGATATAAAATTAGAAGGCAAATTGATGCTATCAAGTTTTCCCGATACACCTTAAAAAATGTAGAAACTTCTGTACAATACCTTTAATCTGAGTTAGTTTTCTTAATATCCGAGATATTGATGTTCTCTGTTTTTATATATTCTATTTTGCACCAATTCATCGCAAAAACAATAACGATTGTCTCCGCTCCTATGAACACATTCATTTAAAAACAAACATAAATTCCTAATGGGAAATACGATCCCTTTAGAAAATTCATTTCATTAGTCTAAAAAGGCACATAACAAATATGTTTTAAGATATGCTCTCTTACATTCTGAAATCAATTAGCAAGTCATTTTTATGCCTCAATTTCAAAGATTTCCAATCTGTAGTTAATGCTATTTCACTCATTTATATATTACTGGTTACTTAGTTTGATTATAGCCTAACCCGTGGACTTGGTTCAACCAGACCCTCGGTTCTCAACCTGGGGTGTTTTTACCCTTGGGGGTGTGGGACTAGGGTATCAGGGGTGTGGCCAACTGGTGTAGGAGAAGAATGTATTTGGAATTGAGAGAGCAGCCCACATCATCACGTGCAGGAAACAAATTTTTGGGTGTGTGAAAGTCCCAGGGGTGCTTCAGGGGTGTGAAGTCTGAAAAAGGTTGAGAGCCACTGAACTAGACCCTGTGGACGTAGGACATAAATCAGGCCATTAATTTACCGAGAATCAGAAAATTCCAATTATTGTTATTATTATCATTATTTAGGCTATAGCAGTGTATTAATGAGAAGAATATATAAACGTGACAACCACAGGGCGGAAAATCTGAACATTACATTCAGTTTCTGTGCGAACGTGACTACAATGTTTTTGACCTATCTTAATTAAATCAAAGTATCAACGGTTCCTGTTTTGATGCCTGATTTTGTTCCGGTTCCCGTTTTAAACGCAGTATGATATTGAATATGAGAAATTTTCGTGTATTTACATCCGGTTTGTAGGCGGTATCTTCACCATCCATTGTACCAAATGTTTAAATGAAATGGAGTTTTACTTCCTTCTTTTCAGCTGCAGTTTTGTGACCAACACTCAGTACTATTATTATGATTAACGGAACCATAGTTATATATTTTACACTCAGAAGGCAATTCGCAAGGTAGTTTCGCTCAATGTGAGTTGGGGTAAACAAACTTTTCGGACAAAGTTGTGATGGTTTTATCTGTCATATACCCTCGACATGCTCATCCCCTTCTCCCGTCCGACAGGTTGGAAATCGAAAAAGAGCAGGCTAATACTGCTGTCTTGGCAAAATTTCCCTCATTGCACCCTGCATTGGGTTAGCCGTCTTTATTAGCCCAAATGGCGCAGAAAAGTATGACGTAAAACTCCATTTATTTCATTTCATTTTTACCGTCCTTAAAATAATTTGAGACCTGATGTTAAAACGAAGATAGCTTAAGAACATAATGGATTCTGTAATTTCGACGTAATTAATCTTGATCTGACGTATTTCACGCGATCTGCGCTCAGGCGGGTTGATTTTAGACGTGTAGATGTGCTCAAGTCAAGTATCTTTTGATCACGAACTGCATGCATGTGTTCTCAAGGCAAGTAACAGCCTACAAACCTACAATGTCTCTAACGGTGTTCTACATATTATGTAATTTTGAAAAAAAAACTGGTGCGCTGAAGTAGATGGTCTTGATCTATCTGTTCTATCAAGTTGCACCCGAACTGCATGAATAAACGCATGATCCTGAGGAAATAATTTTAATTGCATACGAACTGTGTTTAGCGTAGTTATTTTGATATAGGATATCATCATTTGTATGGCGAGGATACGGTGAAGAAATAGTTTGGTAATTATGTCATCACTCTAATATAAATAACAGACAGGAGTCGAACTTCATCAGTACAATATCTACAACAGTAAATATTAACAAGATGTCACGAGTTGTCTTGTTCCTTCTACTTGGTAAGTCGACATTTCAATTATTATTATGCACTGAACTTTTCACTGTACAGTTCGACCTAGACCGAAACATCTGTCTCTATTCCAGCCTCTGATAGATACTTCCACAGATGTCAGCTGGTTTCTCGCTATGAGATCTTCAGACAACTGACCTATTTCAGCCTGTGTCCCTATTGAGGTTCGACAAATAGTATTTGTTTGGACACGATAACAACATGTTTCAGGTTCTGTTTCAATACTTCTACATCGCTATATTTAATAGAATACTATTTCAACGGTAAAAATGTTTTATTTTTGTCCACTACAGGATTGATGGTAGTCGGGTGTGTGTTTGCTGATGATCAGAGACTCGAAGGTATGTGTTTTTTTTTTACATAGGTTACGGGAGCCGCGATGGCTCAGTGAGTTAAATACTTGTTTCTAGTCGTAAGTCGAGGTAATACATTCGGATTTTCAACTCAGTTGCCCCTGTCATTAATGTAGGTCGGAACACAACAGGGGCGTATCTATAAAATGCCCGAGGAGGGGACTAAAGAGTCTAAGACCGTTGAAGTCAGGGGTCTGTTGGCTGTCAGAAGCCTCCAGAAGCTCACATATTTCAGATGGCTTGAGATAAATACGCTACTGGTCAGGGTGGATTTTTTTATGTTTTTGGTTTTTCAATATAGGGACTAATACTTCTTCTCTGTAATTCATTTAGTGATGTATTTTTCGAAAGCAAAAGTCAAATGTTCAAGTTTTTATATATTCTTATATATTTATATATATATATATATTTTATACCTAGTCGGGACTTATTTAAAATTCACCCTAAAGATTGGCCCTCAATACCACTTCAGCAATCAATATGACTTCTGCTGTGGTTTAAAGGGATTCTAAAGCGGTTTTTTAAGCTTAGTATGTATCGCGGACATTGTTAGCATCTAATTGCACCATTTTTATTTTCAGTCAGACGTCGTTGATTCCTGCAATTCCACTTAAACTAAGTATTTGATGACGTCAGTATTGCAAAATCTGCTTATATTATATATAAGCCCCCTTGTGATATTGAAATTTTAGTGAAATTACGGGCACCACAGATGTGGTTGGTAAAAATGGTACACATTGGTGCTTACAACAATGTCTTCGATACACATAAAAAGTTTTAAAACCCCCTTTATAATCCCTTTAACTCTTCTAATTCTCAATTATTCGGGGTTTTTCAGATGCATTCCTGGATCAGCACCAAGCCAATATGTTCCTTCGATCCAAAAGATACAGCAACATTCGAGTAGAGTTGAGACGAGAGAAAAACGAGTCGATACAAAGAACAAAGGCACTGTGTAGAAGATATGGCAAAAGATGGTGCAGCGGTGGTTACGCGGGCAATTGTTGTTAGTTTGACTGCTTATTTCAATTAAAACTTTAAACTCCTAATATAGATGGCCTGTTGCTTTCATTAGAAAAATTCCCCACCCCCGGATATATTACTTGCCTCTGAGGAAGTCTTTGGTTACAGGGACAATGTTGCGGTATACATAAAGAGATATTATCAATTGATGAAAAATAAATATTGTTCATCACTGAAATATTTTGATTTCGACAAAGGTAAAATCCAAAACTGGTCCATCAACATTTTGAATTCATGGCTAATGTGCCGTATTCGTTACCTCCTGAACAATTGGGAGTGGGAAATGGCATTCAAAACTACTTAAACGACAAGGGAGTATTACTTCCGAATTGACCCAATTAAATTTGATAGATTAAAGCAAACGTCATCTACTTAGGTCAAAAGTTAATTTAATAAATGTTCAAGACTCGGGTCGTTAGAACCGACTGTGAAGTGGCTAAACTAAAAATAAAAACTAATAAAAAGCAAACGAAAGTTGGGTCTAATTTTAATCAGACTGTAAATTTGACCTTTTCATGTTGCGTGGTACATTACAAAATTGAGTAAAAGCTGAGCTGAGCATGAGAATGATTTGTGGCCCTGCGGCCTGTTTTAATCATAAATATTCTCACAATCGTTATGAATTATTGGTAAACAATGATCGACAATAACAGACAAAAACACTGGTATATTTACACATTAAAGGTCGGTTTACACTACGCTAGCTAGGTTTACACTCCGCCAAGCAAATAAGCATCTTCACGATGTCAAGGTATAACGAACCCTAATATATACATATATATACCTCTAGGCACTTTTCTTGTATCACAGATAATTTTGATAAATTGATAAATGCAGTGATTTTATTGGATTAAACGCTAGTAAATTACAGCCAATCAGAGCCATCGACACAAAGACTGTAAGAATGACTTTGGTTGTGTCGGTAACTAGTCGAGTGTTATGATTCGCTGTTTTCCATAACATACAATCCAATCCAATCCAATCGCTGTTAAAAAAAACTTCCGTTACACAAGAAAAGTGCCTTATGATGTCAAGGTATAAGACGGAATTCGTAATATCTTGACATTGTGAAGAAGGGAAAATGGGCGGCATTGTGATTTCTTTTCTATAGAGCTAGGAGAGCTTTAAGCCTTCGTATATTAAATTAATGAGAGAAGGCGGATGCCTGAGCAAGATTCTACTTTTCTGTGTTATGAGACCTGGAAGACATCAGTGGTTTGCCGGAACTGCTACTGAAATATACCCCCTCCCAAATCTCCCTCAACCCTATATAAAAAGGATTGTTTCACCTTCGCTTAGCTGCATACAAACCGACCTATAGAGAGAATGGGTCCTAAGCATTTTGGTTTGGAAAGTCATTTATCTGGCAACTTGTTATACCATACTTAAAAACATTTATTTTTCCACACATGGCATAGTGGTTGCCGCCATTGAAACAATTGCTGTCACCACCGTTCACATTTTCCCAATCGAAGGAAAACATTTTTAATTGGAAGCGGTTATTTCCTGTCCCGGTACAATCAAGGCAGGCATCTGTTATCCAATAATCAGTGCCAAATCTTAAAGGAAAAGAAAAACAGCTATGATTATCATTAAAAAATAAACCAAGTTCTAACGATCATAACAGCAAATCAAAACCCGAAATCCAAACATATTGGCGAAACATTGGCGGCAGCAAATGAACTTTTTACACGAGGAATTAAATGAATTATAAGTTAGTAAATATTTCATCAGTAATTCGTTAACTTTGAATTGTATTCTTTGTGTTTTGTGTTTGGTTCTTTACCGTCACGGTCTACAATTCCAATTTCCATTATTTCTCACACTCGATCACTCTCCGATTTCATTCTACCAATCAGGTACAGGGTCCACCGAAAAACATTCAATATCGTAAATATGGTTTTTCTCAATATTCTACACTTACGACAAAGTCTTACCGTAATATATTGTGTGGAATAGGGCCCAGAGACGTAAGATTTAAAACTCGATTTCATTTCATTTGCTACTTACGTATTAAGAGGGTGATATGATGGTGATGTCAATTCATTTGTAGTTCTTGTAGTTGGAGTTCCCTTTGCTTCGGCAACTTGGCCAGCTTCTTTCCCAGTCCAATCCAACTTAGTATCACCTATAATGCGAAGACAACGGGAAAACAAATGTACCTGTCTTTGTCTGAAACATGCTACAGAAAATTGCTTTCACGGCATAACGTTCAGTAAGTTGGAAAATTGCTCTAAATGGAGGATATTTAATAATAAAAATTGTACTTACTGTCCCTTTAAATCATCAATAACATTGATAGACAATCTAACCCACTAAAATTGAGCCCCCACTCTGACCAATTAATACAGGGGTGGGAGGGGGAACAGAGGCAGGTCAAGGGGGAAATGCCCCAGCCTAGCAAAAGACAGACGACCAATTCCGCCATGAACCATTGTCCCTTCGGAAATATTACTTGTCCCTCCAAAGAAGTCTTATTACGTGACTGTACCCACTGATGGAAATATTGGAAATCACACTGTTAAATCCGGACCAGAATTATAGACCGTAAAATTCCATCCATCTAAAGCTTACCTCGAGCAAATCTATTGTAGCCGGAATCAGCTGACTGTAAATGGATGAGAGCTGAAATGCACATAGACCGTGTCAAACTTGTTAAAATTATTACAGTTCAGTCTGCACCTTGCCACTAGCAAGATCTGCAAACAACTGAATTTTCAATGACTCAAAGCCATCTGGGAGGAAAACCGAAAGGACGGCATGTGTGATAAAGATATATTGATTGGATTAACTTTTTGATATCATAATTTGATTCTGAACGAAAAAAAATTTATGTTGTTGAGTATAAGAATGCATACATACGGATATCAGCTCCCCGCAGCCAGAGATTGACAGAGTTACCACGATATTCAGAAAATATCACCGTTCTAACATAGCCTGGAAATACGAGAAACATGCAGTTCTAAACAGGTATGGTAATTGATATGGCCTGAACATGTGCAAGACTCTCTTTCTGCACCATGACAATGGCTCAACTACTATAGGCACTGGTTGAAATAAGTCCGCAGGTCTTCAACACCAGAAGCAATTTTTTTTTTCTTTTACCAAAGAAAGTATCTGAAAGCTTGCATTAAACAGACTTGCGGTTAGATTCTCGGAATGCACGAGAACATATGTTAAAAAACAATTCCGAGGAGGGGCACCAACCCAGTTAAGTCCACAGACTCTTTGTCATCTAGTCAAGTCGCCGCAACATAGGCATCTTTACAATGTCAAAGTATTACTAACTCCATATTATAGTAGATGGATGTCATAGTACCTTGATGAAGGAGAGAACATTCATGTAATATTAATCGTAGTAATCGATTTGAGCATTCGCTTCGGGTGATCGGTGAAAAGCTAAAGGGAGACTAAAAAATAACAGTTCTAATCAATCCCATAACGATATTTCTTAGAATTTCATTTTATTAATGTTATTTGTTTGCAAAACGGTTAATTTGCTCTGGAACTCTTAGCAAGAAGACTTCAGGGAACTGTGTATATTGGGAGTGAAACGATTGAAAATATCATTGTGACAAACCAACTTACCATCAGGGCAGACTGGACCAGTTGGAGTTGTACGGACGGTCGTTGGTGGAGTGGTTGTTGAGGCTCCAAGGTTCGGAGAAGTTCCACCAGTGATATTATCAGATGAAGAAGTCGTGCTGCCACTTAATGGTGTTGAGGCATTTCCTATTTGACCCGATGTTTGGGAGCTGTTCACTGACGGTGGTGGGTTAGTTATTCCGGTATTCAGAACCTCGTTGGTCTGTCCTGAATTTTGCCCAACTATATTAGCACCTGTAGTTTGTCCGGGTTGGCCTGCACCTGTAGTTTGTCCGGGTTGGCCAGCGCCTGTGGTTTGTCCCGGTAGGTTATCGCCTGTAGTTTGTCCGGGTTGGCTAACACCTGTAGTTTGTCCGGCTAGGCCAGCGCCTGTAGTTTGTCCGGGTTGGCCTGCTCCCGTGGATTGTCCTGGTTGGCCTATATCCGTTGTTTGTCCGGGTTGGCCTGCACCCGTTGTTTGTCCGGGTTGACCTGCACCTGTGGTTTGTTCGCCAAGATTCGAGTCTGTGTTTCGACTATTGGATATTTGTGTAGTATGGTCGATAGTAGCTTCATTGGTAGTTTGTCCAGATGCCGGCTGGTCTGTGATGTCAGTTGTGGTTTGTCCCGAGAATGGCTCAGTTGTGGATGAATTTAGTTGAATGTTTCCTTTAACATTTTTAGTATTTGTATCAACTGAAAAATTAATAGTGTCTCAGTGCAAAAATATTTGACTAAAAAATTTAAACTAAATAAAAATTTATGCTTCTTCCAGGGTCCAAATTGCAATTGCTTTTCTATATTCAAATTACACTTTTAATGTTAATATTCATGATTAATGTCCCTCTTGTAACGAAATAAAGATATGCGTCCATCTCTTTGGGCTAATAAATACGGACAACACAATGGGGGAAATATGGCAAGGACAGTAGCATTAACCTACTATACTCTTTTAAGGTGCGAATAGATGTACGGTGGCTGGTGCGGTGTATTGTGTGGAATTATATACACAGAAGAAAATAGTAGATACGAATAGCTAATTATAGCTATGACTTACCAGTGAGAAAGTAACCAGCTGATGCGGCACCGGCTACGATTACGGTACTGACTGTTATTCCAATGATGATTTTAACTAACAATGAGCATCCGGCTTGTTTCACTGGGGTCCCTCCCGTCTCAACCAGGGCTGCCGCTACAGAAAAAAAATGATCACATAAAGGTAAGGTTTTTTTTGTCTTACGGTTGTCTCGGATTTGTCAACAATAACGCTGTATATGAAAACAATTGCATTTAAAATAAAAATCAATATTCGATAAAATCTCTCACTTCGTGATACCTGCACCAAATTTAGTGCAGAGGTTCCTCAGGATCTTTCCGAAAAGGTCGCTATCCAGGTAAAAAAAAAAATGGCTGCCATTTTTCAAGATGGCCACCTAGTTTAAGGAGAAACAAGATGCTCTCCGCCTAAAATGTCAAGGAAACAAAATATTTGAGTAATGTTAATATCAAACTGTGTGTATTCAGACCAACAGAACTTAATAGTGTAAATATCATCCCAACATTGCCGCAATTTTTCAAGATGGCTACCAAGTTAAAGATGAAACAAGCAGTTTTTGACCTAGAATTTGAAGGATATTTATTTTCCTGGACATATCAACTTGCTAAAATTTTAATAGCGCTTTTGTCTTATTCCTGATACGTAAGTTTGACAGACATCGGCTTTTCTATAAGACACGAATCGCTGCATTTTATACATTTTATGCAAGCCATAAAGTAATGACTGAGTGGCGGAGACAGGTTTACGTCCTATGGGGGCGAAATATCTGAGATTGCCCGAATGTCTAACCTAGTTATGAGATTTTTGTCTGACAGTAATTAACTGTGGATTTTCTCAATTCGGCATATTTTTCAGATCATATTTGCAAGCAATATGTGTAGATTAGATTAAATATTCTATGGATATATAATTTGTATAGAATAATAATATGCAATAAAGTCACAGTAGCATACTGCGGTTTTAGAAAATGTGTACATTTTTCAGATCATTTTCAAGCTAAAGATAAATAAACCAAGTACTAACGATCCGAGCCGCAAAACGAATCCCGAAAAATATAATGGCGAGACATTGGTAGCATCTAATGAACTTTTCATATGAGATTAAATTAAAACAATATTGGAATGATATATTTACCTGATGAAGACATAGTTCAGATGATGAGCTTCAGTTTACCGTTAAAATACACCAATTAATCTCTACTTTCTATATCCTTTTATGATAAGAAAAAAAACTTGATTTTATTTTTGATCTTAACAAAATAATTATAATCTTCCTCTATAACTAATTATATTGTAAAAAAAAATTGCAAAATGAATTCGATGCCAAACGTTTGCAATTAGTTAAATTTTGATTTCAATTGTTTTTTATTGCTTTAATCTTACTAAAAATTCTGATCCGTTGATGTTCTACCTCAGGTGGTGAGTATAATGACGGATGATACGATAAAAATGATACCATGTTGTTTATTTTGGTTGTTATGGTATTTATTTGTTGTTAATATTATAATATTTAAAATAATCCCCCATTTTGAAATCGAATCTGAAATTTGTTGATATTATGATTTTGGTGTTTATTTTGTGTTATTTGGTACCATTATGACAATGGATCACGTGATGTTCAGTAAACAAAGATATCCTTAATTCAATAACCCTACCCATCATCTTGTCCGTTTGTTTCTTGGTGAAATTACGTTATATCCGAATTCGGTATTTAAAGGCATAGTATACTAGAAAGGATTGTATTTTCAAGGCAATCTAATTAGAATTAGACTTCAACTTTGTATCTTTTTCGTTTTCTGATATTTTAGACTACATTGTTATCTAAATAGTTTTCTACCAAATCATATTGCTCAACTTTTCGATATCCCACTTTCTTATTTTATCACGAAACGGTTCTACATGACACGCTTTGATTTGTTCAGAATAAAGTCATCGTGACGGGCCTTCGATGGAATTCTAAAATTACAATGTAAACGAAAAAAATATCAGGAAAACAAAAAGATATGAAATTGTAATGTAATTTTAATTACATCGAAACCCTTCAAATGTAAGGGCAAACCAGCTGAATTCCACAGCATTGAAAACAACAATGGATAACAAGATATTTTTTCTCCTTTGGAAATTTTTAGCTTGTTTTGTTCTCTCATACAAGCACTTTAATTTTCAAGTGTACGCGATACAGTACGCATGAACTAAAATCGTCTTGTTTTGGGACATGACGCCAGATTTTGATATAGCCTTCCGATTGTTTCGCAATCAGGGCCTTGTCTACATACGAAACTACGTATGGTTCTTACATGGAAAAAACACACGAACGTAGTTCACAGCCATTTTGAATCTCTATCTCGACTTAAGGTCGCAATACAATGGCTACGATACGATACGTATCACGATATGGGGCAATAAGCAAAGAGTAGTGGCAATAAGCAAAGAGTAGTGTTTTATTTTCCAAGTTTCAATGATTTTTTATTACTGTATATTTTCAGATAATAATTTTACTGGTAGTTTATGTCAATAGGTTTACTGTTGCTACATTTCAACTTGTTATGTATTTAGATGACGTCTAGAGTTCGTATGGAATTCCTGATATCGGCAAGTATCGATACACGAATATTCGATACGATACACGTATCGTGGTGTATCGATTCACCGATATATTGTGCCAGCACTATTTCAGATGTAGGCTCACAACTCGTCATATAGAAGATCTCATCTGGGCCTCAAGTTATGGCTTTGTATAAATTCCTAACTCATAATCAACGTTAAAAATCACCATTTCCCATCCAAACACCATATTTCACTTCCGATTAGTTAGTTGCTGCAGTTTCTTGGTCGGGATCTTAATTCTTAAACCAACCCTTACTCTTTCACTTGTGATTTATATACGTCCTCGTGTGACAAGTTCATTAGCTGATACCAATATTTGCCAATATCTTATTTTGGATTTCGTTTTGCGGTTGGGATCGTAAGTACATGTACTTGGTTTATTTGGCAGGTTTCTGACATACAATATAAAGTGATGAACAGTTTGTACCAAATAAAATAGAAGATGGTAAGAATTAAAATACCTTGGTCTTGTACATTTTATTGTCAAATGAATTTAAAAACAAAACATAGCTGACTTAGGTATAGATACAACATGAATTAAAAAATTATACAGAAATACATTCCCACTGAGTTAGACATCAATGATTTTTTTTTAATTAAACATTTGATTTTCAAGTTTTCATTTTTATTACAGGTAATGTAAATAAACACAAAAGAATCGACCAAGTAATATAAAAAACTTAGTAGACGTGATTTGAAGAATAAGGATCCCCGACTATTTTACACCCCTCAAGTTTCCATTGAACTCTTCTAAAACATGCATACTTTCTATCAATATGATACTATAAATGTATGATTGGAAGAGCTCATTTGTGAAATAAGGGGTATTTGTATGTTACTGGTCAAATTATATCAAGGCATGATAATGATTAACTGTTGATCTTACAGAGTTTTCCATCTTCACTTTTACCGTAGCTACAAAGCCACCTTTCATGTATCACGTTAAGTAGCTATTTGATTGGTTCGTACGCCAGTGAATACAGCCAATCATGTTTACAGTCTTTCTGACTGATGTAAATTCAAATCAAATCGCTGCATTCCGTGATACAAGAAAGGTGAATAATGAAGTCAAGGAATAAGACAAAGTTCATAATAGCTTGACATAGTAAAGATGACATGTCCTAGTAAGAATAAGAAGGTATCCCATCTCCAATAGAATTAGACTGAAACATTAATGTTATAAACAAGATGGACTATAAAATGAATTATGAATGACAAATTATATTAAAATCTTACAATATTTACAAAATTGTACAGTTATTACATGCTTATAAGTTATTCTATATTTTTATTCTCAAGTTATCTTTTTTGTTTCGCACTTGGTTTTGCCTTCACTGGTTTTTTCTGGCCCCCAGAAAATAAATTGGTAAACATTTCTGATACATCAGGCATATTTTGTTTGGAATTTAAAGCATTCATTTGAGATTGCACTTCCTGGAAAAACAAAAGATTCATAATTAAAAATCAACATTTTTTCCTATATATTTTACAAAAAAGGGTAGGCTCACTCTTCTAGACACCTGATACCACTTTTCATTACGGAAAACTACCTCATTTATGATTGATATACTTCCTCATGTGAAAAGTTAACTGCTAGCATACCAATGTTTCGCCAAGATGTTGTTTTGATTTTGGGTTTTGTTTTGTAGTTGAAATCATTAGTACTTGCTTTATTTATTATCAAATATAACAACCAGGAAAAGGAACATTCTAACTATGTGAATTCTCTGAAATTGCTAGAGTTGACACATCAAGTTTTAGAGTGGCAACAGGTGAAGCTGTTCGGTTGGTATATCACAATAACATTAGAACTAAAAGCTAACAGCTTAGAAAATGAAACTTTGGATAATGATTCACAATTAGTGTCCAAACTAATATGTTGTCAAAAAGCATTATAGCCCATTTAATTAGATGTATAGACACTCTAAAACAAACAATCAGCTAACGACGGTATTATATAATGGTAATATAAGAGATATAAATCTACCTTTTGTGTATCAGGGTCAGCTGTGTTTAATAATTTAGGTAAAACCATAATTAATAAAAGTGGCAACACCATAGTTAAAACCTGTAAGAAAACATAAATTAGTAAATTTCAAAGAAAAACTAGGGGTTGATTTGGGTCTTGAATATATATATATAGTCATCAGAAGTACTAGAAATGTACGAAAATCGCAAAATTCCAAAAATACTTTAAACTAGGAATTTCACTTTCTATTTCTATATTAGTGTATGTATTTCTACATACGACAGAGTCATAAGAATAGATTTTAACTTTCAAACGCTGATAATTCTAATAAGACTTCTAAACTATCAAATCATTAGCAATTCTAACTCACCATAGGATTGAACAAGAAATCTGTGATTCTCCATTGTTCTCGAGCCTGGAAATAGTTGGCCTTGCCTCGTTCTCTAAACTCTAAAGGATATGGTGAAACTTTCACTACACTCGGTTGTAAATAATTCACTTTTCTGGCTCGTATTTTGCCTTTAGATGTTATGTCAACTCTGGCTGGCTCAAATAAAAATGATGGATTGACTACTTCCACCACAAATGAACCTGAAGGGACACCATTTATTGTGAAGCTGCCGTCAGACCTGGAAAATAAAAGAAAAGAATAAAAGATAATCCATTAGAATGAACCCACTTAGAATGGAAATTGAAAAGGAGAGAAAACCAATGTGTCTATGGCACATTATGAAGCATATACGGTACCAAACTCCAGTCCAGGGGATGGCTTAACTTACAAAGTTACCCCTTTACTGTATTGTGGTACTGAGTGGGGAACAGAGACACTTCAGAATAATCAGCCATATCTTGCTTATCGACTCAATAATGAATAGCTTTGAATAGATTTGTAAAATTGGCTCGAGTAACTCGAAAATTACCATTATATGTCTGAACCTAAACCCAATTCTGTCCTAATACCCCATCAGCATCGAATCAATATGACATTTGAGAAACTGGGTAGGCCAGATTTGTTGAACTAATGTAAGTTTATGTTTTTTTTTAAAACTGATTGCCAACTGGTCGTGAAAATAATTTGGATGCATCAGATAAGACGAGCAAAATCATCATCCACCAAACTCCATACGGACATCGTTTTCATGTCCTCTTACCTGAGAAAACCAATATACTCTCCGCCGTCCACCAAGATTCGTGTGTTTGGGAGCCAATTTTTACCGTTAGAAAACACTTCAACTCTTCCTTCAATTGTAAAACTGTTTGTAGATTTTAATTCTAAAGCTTCTTGGCCTTTCACACATATTTGTAGGCATAAAAAGATTAAAAAGATGCAGAAAATGCTACTCGTGTCCTCCATGTTTATTTTTTCACTATTGGTCCAGGTCGTTCTATCCAAGCTAGTGATTGTGTCTATACAATAAATGATGACGTGTATTTTAGACTAGAGAAAAATTTAAGATAATTTAAATTCCAAAATTCATTACTATAAAACTTTTATATGAATATGAATTCATTTTTAAATTTGTATGTTTGTATGATTACATATACTATAAATATATATATATATATATACTAGCAGTTTTGATTTGTTGTAATGTCTATCAAAGACAAAGTGAACTGGCATTCATATCAAGGGAAACTACTCTTTTTACGAAATAATCAGACTACTGTTAACTCCTAATCATCACTGACATGTAATTGATTATTGATTAACCCAAAGAGCAAACTAATGAAATTACATGCAGTTATCATTAAGTTTAACATCACATATTTTCTGAAAAATGAATTGGATAGCTTCATTGATCAAAATAATTCAAAGTGTAGGCTTGTCAATTTTGCTGAAGATAGCTGCCCATAATTTAGCCACTTTGCGGAGACGGGTAGAAGGTTAGTTTGTAAGATATCACCAGTATAACAAACTTAAAGGTCATGTATTGCGTTCATTAAGGCGCTTAAGTCTCACAAAACCATGCAATTTTTTCTTAATGCTGTTTTTTTTTTACGTAGTTTATGCAGGTTAACTCTGCACAAAATAACCCAAAGTTTCAGTTTATGGAGGGCAATCTGTGAAAAAATATACTAAAATTCTTGCCTTGATAAAAAATTTTTACGTCACATTGAATAGACCACATATCTCTAAGTATCAATTGAAATGCCAAATATTTTTGGCTTTTTTCTTTGTAAAATATCTAATATCTAATATGTTCAACAATTCAAAGTTCGCAAAGTAATTTTAGATTTGCACTACAACAGTTGCCTAGTAGCCTAGTCTAGGCCCTATCCTTCCTCTGATAAGAAAGAAAAGAAGGGAACAACTCTATTTTAAAAGTATAACAATGTAGTTTCACAGTTAAGGATCCTTGATGGTTGAAATGTTGTCAAAAAATGTCTTGTGTTTACATATAGCCTATTATATCTCGACTTGTGTAACCCACAGTAATGCGTTTATGTTTGTTTGTTTCTTTCTTAGTTTGATGCAGGAAAGAAATGAATAACTATCTGCAATGTTTAAAATCAGCACAAAGTTGAGAAAGGGTTGCAAATTTCTAAAAGTGTGGCACAAACAATTATTTGGAAGTCAGCGAAACACAGGTGTGGGATGTTGGTATTCGACGGCTCTGAGGAAATTAGAGTTTGAAACAGACAGATATAATGGGGTTATGGTCAATCTGCAACAACTGAATCTTCAGACAGTTCAGAATGAAGATTTTAACAACTTATTGATAGGTAATAATTATACTTTATTTGACAGGAAAACCAGTTTGCCTTCCCTGGTATCCTCCTAAACTACACATAGAAAAATATAATATAAAATATAATGGAAACTTGCGCCAGTTGAAAAGGTTGTTATTCAAATGTTTTTTTAGACAGCTTAAAATCTTGGAGAGATGAGAAAAGAACGGTTGCATGGTTACACATTCCAATAACTCATAGTAGATTTATCTCCCTTGCTGGTAACCATGGTTTCGAGTATCACCATGCAGAAGGCAGTATGGCCATGATGAAACTATGGTTAAAAACAACCCGAGAAGACCCCACACCTATATTTGGTACCCATCAGGTTGGTGTTTCAGGTGAGGATTTTAATTTAGTTTGGCACTGACCTTGAATCCCAACATTGAACCCTGACCTTGAACCCTGACCTTGACCTCTTAAATTCCCTTAAACACGTCTTTCTAAGAGAAGTTTACTCATACTGCATTTACTTTTTCATTGACTTTGATTGGTCATTACCAAATTATTTACATCTTCATGGGACTTCCTGTGTCTCATATATTCTGGACATTTGGTCATGTGTCAGTTGACTTGACCTTTCAACCTTGACCAAAATTAGTGACCTCTGTGTCTACTTTAAGATTCTATTTTAATTGTCATCTTCTATTTTAGGTGTTGTGATAAATGAAAAGACTGAAGAAATACTGGTAGTTCAAGACAAAAATAGACCTGTAAGTAGGTCTTTTATAGTGTAAATTTTCAACTTATTCTGTCAGTAAGGCCTTTAGCTTTAAACATGAAAAAATAAAAAAAAATTATATCCTTATTTTCTGCTTTAGATTTGGCTAATGGCAACAGACACTGTAATTCTGAAATATGGCCCAGATATTGTCAAAAGCCTTCTCATATCTAACTGTCAAGGAAGCCCTACTGTCAATTTCTACAAGCACAAGCACATTCATCTACCTGCCTACTTTGTTTCTATACTATGCTTTCTGCTCTTGTCCTTTAAAAGAATTCCCTGTTATCTACAAACAATCTGAAAAAGAAGAGGTTAATGCTGCTATCCTGGGGACTTATTCTTGAAAACTTAAGTAAGATGAAATCCAGATTTTAAGAAATACAGTAATCTGATTGGATAATAAATCTTAACTTATAATTGATTTTAGTGTTTGACCAATGAGATGGCTGAAACACTAAAATCACCTTCAGTTAAGTTTTCGAGAATAAGGCCCCAGGTTATATTTCCCTCATTGCACACTGCATGGTATTACCCGTCTACATTACCCATAAGGTGAAGAAAAGAAGAGGTAAAACTCCATTCATTTCATTTCATTTCAGTATACACTGTGGAAGTTTCCTGGTGGTTTATCTGATCTTGGTGAAGATATTGGTAGGTTGAATCAATATCATATAGTTAATATTGAAGCAATCTTCAGACAATAGTTGATGTCACCTCAACAGAGCTCAGTTTCAACAGTGAATGTCACCTTTTAGGAGCAAAATCAGACCTCCTGTTCTCCTACAATCAAAACATAATTACTGTTGAACTTTTGACTGTTTGTACCTGCAATTATTAATGACCAGTTGTAGTGCAGTTGATTAGGGCGTTGGAATTTTACATGGTATTTTCTGTTTATTCAAATCTTACGTTAGGCTAGTGAAAGTTTGGTGACCTTGATAAAATCTTCTCATGTGTTCCTGTCAACCCAGCTGTAAATGGGTACAGATAATCTAGTAAGATCAATGCCAAGGGATTTTACTTTTTTTCTATCTTTCTTACTGAGGTCATGAAATGGTAATAATGGCCTGGAACTGGGAGTGACAACAGTCTAAACTTTCACACTGGGGGCATGAATTGACAAATAGTAACATATTTGTTATTATTCACTTTTGCAGGAAAAACTGCTGAGAGGGAAATCTTCGAAGAAACAGGAATCAAAAGTGGTAAGAGTGTTTCTTTCATCTTCACAATGGTCAAGGTATTACAAACTTCATCTTATACCTTGACAACAACAGGCACTGTGCAGGGAATGCAGGGATTTGATTGGATTGTACTCTAGTCGAAACAGCCATTATGCTTTGTGATCCCCCTTTCAAAAAGAATTTGGCAGTGGACCTCTCAATTAAAAGCTAAGCAGCTGTCACTGATTCTAGCAGATAGAATTTAGTGAGACACTGTGACAAGGATAGCTCCAAGGACCCAAAATTGAAATTAATAAAAATATTGAAAGAATACTCTATTTCCCCCTTGACCACAAAATTTTGATTGTGGCCCCTCCCAATCCAAAGTTCTGCAGCCGCAACTGATCCTAATGATAACAGATGCTAGCAGATGAATTGATAAGAGGCTGTGTAGACAGTGGTAGCTCCATGGGCCCAATTTATTTGTGAAAATATGAATTTTTTCCTTGTAAAAATTTTCTTTTAAATGGCATGAAATAGAGGATTAAAGCTCTTTATTTTCAAACTTTTTCCAAGTGGCATTTTGATCCCTCTAGAATGGATTAAAGAAGGTTTGGCAGTGGTCCCCCTTCAAGCAAAGGTTCTGAAGCTGCCACTGATCTAGCTGATAACAGATCCTAGCAGATGGATTAATAAGAGGCTGTGTTGACTAAATTACAATTTTTTGTAAAATAACATATTTTGTAAATATATAAAGAATACTCTTTTCAAATGGCTTAAAATACAGGATTTCAAAACATTTCCCTTTGACCCACACTTAAATGCATTCAGAATAATTTTGGGGGTGTCGAGTGTTGATGCAATATCTCACAAACATCAACAAATTCTGTAATTAACAGTATAATAAAGGTAATTAAAATTTCAACAGTAATTAATATTATACAATTAAGTCGTGTTAATGATGTTCTATCATTTAAAACATTAAAAATGATTAAAATAATTAACCAACAAGTCAAAGTGATGAAAAGCTTGATATAAAAATATATTAACAATGTAAACTGCTGGGTACTGAATGATGAACCAAGATTTTTTAATAATCCATCATTTTACATTTCAACAGTTTTGATACTAACAATATTGTTTTAATTCAAATTAATTTCCACTATTAAGCTGATTTTAAAACGCCTTTTTAAAGTAATTTAGACTAGATTTCATAACGTAATTATCTTTTTCTATGGATCTCTTGAAGTGGACGGAAAGATTAAATATTTGTAGTCTAAAAGATACGAGGTAAAAATAGAGTTGTGTCCCTTTTATCCATTTCGCGAAGAGTTATATTATTTAAGCTGAGTTCCGAGATCGGACATAAGACATTAGAATTGATATACAATAGGTTGAGCTCAGAATATTCAGTCTTGAGCAGACGCACTAGTAGTCGTACTCCATTTGATCAGTGGTGTTACTTCCCCACCCCCCAAAAAATAGACTGACTCGGCGTTCTTCTGCACCCCTCCCCCTTTCTATTCACACACACACTTTCAAGTTTCTTATAATTATAGTAAGAGTGGCCTATGAGCCCACATTGACAATTCAGAAGCCCCTACATGCCCCCTCCCCCTCATCGAATGATTCGAAGAAACGCTGGTAATTTTGATTAGCCGGGATCTCACTTTATTTAACCCTTGTCTTTTTCAGAATTCAAATCAGTTCTCTCAATGCGTCAACAACATAATCTCCCTGGTGCCTTTGGTCGGTCAGATTTCTACATCATTTGTCGAATGAAACCATTAACTTTTGAAATAAGTGCGTGTGTAGAGGAGATACGCGAGTGTAAATGGATGCATATTGAGGATCTGAAACGTGAAATTGAAGTATCTTCGTTAACCATGAGATTGACTGATATGGTAGAGTATGGGTTGAGAGAAGGGTGGGATGTTGTTGATATTGGGTGTGAGGAGATGGAGTCAATTTATAAAGGATTTAAATTCAAATTATATCATCGCCCATTTCATAAACAGTCCGGATCGTCTTAGGTGAATTTACAATTTTTGTTTTAAGCGAACGACGCATATACGTTTTAGGCGAATTGCGCAAAATCGTCTCTGACGCCCAGTCTTCTTCTGTCTTCGACGAGTATATTTCGCCGTCGATGTGCAAAGACGAATGGGGACTGGATGATAGAAGGATATTTAGTTTTAAGCGATCGGCTGTCATTCGTGGTAGATGAACGGAGCACATTATAGGTGATTTAAAACCGATTAACCGACAGCGCACCTGTGGTAATAGTGAACGCCGCACGTTCAGTAAAAGCGACTGTCGCACATTTGATTAGGGCGAACAGTGCAATTTTGAGTTTGGCGCACATTCGATTTTGGAGAAAGACGCACTTTCGATTTAGTAGAACGGTTCATATTCGGTTAAAGCGAACGCCGCACTTTTAGTTTAATCGAAAACAACGGCGCACATTTCAACGTGTTTCTCTCATCGGCCCGACGATCTTTCACTTTTCAAAATTAACTCGGATTCTCGTAAGATTCAACAAAATATTATTATATCCCTTCAACTCATGTCTTTCAAGGATTGTGCTAGATCGCGTTATTCTCTCAAAGTTCATGACAATGTGGCCTATGTCATCCTAACGTATTAGTAGAATCTGTATAATGTCGCAGGTCGGTCACAGCGTTCCGACTTTGCCGGAAGCGAGTCTATATGACTTGTCGACATGAATAAAATTGTTGTATGTTTTATTGATAATGACAAATGAATAATAAAATGAATACCTCTAAACTTTATTAAATATTTTTCATTCTATCAGTCTTCTTTTTTATCAATTTGTCCTTCTGCCCCAGATACAACCTTGATATCAAGGCTGCAAATAACGTAGAAGCCTACATTCCGAGATTCTCTGATTGAAAAACGCCAGTCCAATAAAAAAATTAGCCAAAACTTTCGCTCCGTTTCTTAAGTAGCTTTTCTTTGTTTTCTAGCCACTTGTATTTGTCAAAATTAAGGATATTGCACCATTTTATCTCGGGCAGATATATTGGGGATATTAAAAGTTTCTACATGTACCACGGTGTACGCTTTCACTCTGATATTTGTCATAATCTTATTATGGTCAAAGCCCTATATGTAAAGTTGTGACAACTCAATTTAAAGGCGCCATTTTGAGCCTCGCATGACATTATAATATAGTGCTTTGATCATGATTATCTGATTTTGTAAGATCAACAGAAGTTAGACAGGAAAGCGAAATCGATACAAATCCAGTGGCTACATTCCTTTTTTGAAATCTTACCATTAACTTGATAAAATGTTGCTGATGTTTTCATAATTGCTAAAAGCTGATAAGGTTATCAACATGGTCGAAATATACACCGACATGTTCCTGACATATATAAAATGGCTAGAAAGCCATGCTTCAATCCCTTTAATTTAGCTGCAGTGTGAATTGAGTTGAGTTCATTCATTTTATTTCAAATAAAAAAAAATACTGAAAATCACGACGTGGTGACAATAATTAGTCTTTGATGTTTTTTTGTATAATTTTTAAATAAAACAATATCCGGCGAAATGTTTAATGTGTTTATAAATAATTAAACTGTTATTTTAAAATTTTGATTTGAAATATTCATAATAATTATTGTTTAAATGTAAACAATGACATTATTACACGCGACAGAGTCAACAATTTGTCCAAATAATGGGAATTCAAATAAATAGGTATCTGTTAATTAATGCTTGGTGTCCGCCATGATAATATATGCAAACATAGCCGCTTAATGGTTCAATCAATCGATCAATACCAAAAAGGTTTTTGAATCTCAACCTCGACAGTTGTCCCCCCATTGAGACATTCTCATTCTGCCCCCCATTCTCCCCAGTCACGGGAGCCAGTGTTTGTAAATCAATATTAAGGTATCGGAATGTTGCAAATAGAATTTTAGGATTTTTTTAAAAAAAATGATACAATCAAATGTTTCCGGATATATAGGAAATGTGGAAATGTTTTATGAAAGACGTTTTATGGTTCACTAGGATCTTGTCTACCAGCATGTCCTTGCCCAGATTATCCGTACACATTTACAGCTGCGTCGACTGGAATATGCGGAAAATGACCCACTCAAGGTAACCAAACACGCGGACTGCGATTAGAACAAACGACAAAGCTGGATGGGAGTCTGAATATGATATATGGACAAGGAATTTGCAATTTGTTCTCATTTATCGGATGTCTAGCAACAATTCATTCATAAAGTCCTCCCATGTCAATCAACATAGTTCTGTACATCATTAAAATATGTGTATCACTCAGTTAAAGAGATCATGTGAATCTTACTCATTAGCTCATCAAGGGTAGATAATTAGGATGTAAACTCCTTTTCGTTTTAAGGATTGTTGTTTACTAGTATCAAAAAGACAATTCCTAATTAATTCTACTAGTTCGATGTCCTCCAGACTTTCATTGGGATAACTATCTACTTGATCATTCACTGGGATGTAAGCAGGCGACTGGATCCGCGATAGATAGTCTAAGCTGGCAAGGACAGGTATTTTTCTGGTAAGTCTCTTTAAACCCTATCGGCCAGTGACTGTTGAATGACTGACATGTTTTGGCTAGAATCATCAACAAGTCTACCTTCAAATATCTAGATGGTTCACTTCTGGTCGTTAGAAATATTGCCAACTCATCAACTTTTTAAAACTGTTGTCCAGAGTTCAACTTCTGTGAAGTATGTAGCATGTACAGGCCTTGATGGCTGCCTTTTTTTTATTCTGGTCCACTAAAAATCTTATACGCTGGGTCAATACCTATATTTCCTGAAAGTTTGGTACTTTCCGACAAATAACGCTAAATTCACTAATGTAGTCAACTATTGGGAAATTCTGTAATACATCGTCTACCTTCGCCTTTGCCGCCTCGCAATATGATTAACTTAAAAACATATATACAATATAAGGATAGATCTTTGGAACTCTGGAGATGGGATCGTTTCACAAGCCTCCTGAAGACGGAATTTGAATCCGAAACACATATTGATGACCGAAAATCTAATTAAAATAAGATTACAATTTCGGTTCTTGTTTTCTGATATTGACAATAGCAATGCTTATAATAGTTGCGTCATCATACATTCACGCCTGCAAAGTAATGATTAATGGACTACCATCTTAGTTTCACCATTAGTCGTCTGGAAATCACCAGCGCGCCATTTTATCTGAGTACGTCATTACATCACAAAATCCTGCTTTCATCAGCATGACTCATCAAAAATACCAACAGGGTCGCCATCTTGGATGCACCATTAGTGGTCTGAAGCCCACCTAGAAGAACATGCTGGCTGGTCTCAAGGGAAAGGCTAAAGAGAAAACATTTGTAGTAATGGCAAGTTGATGATGGACACATCTCAGACGGCAAGGTGGAGTGGCGGAAGTTTTCAATAAAGAAGTTATTTTTGGTATTTAACAAGTTGTTAGAAGAATCCAGAACTCGTTTATTTGATAAGGAGTGAATCTTATCGTCTGCTCTGTCGTCAGGATGTTTTGAAAGGGACATCAGTCGAGGCGAAGATTGGAGTGTGAACATTTCTAACAAGTTGTGGATGATTTTGAGGCTTATAATTAACAGTACAGGGTCAGTGAACTTGACAACCAAACCACCGATTACAGCGAGGAAACGATGCATAAAAAGTCGTTTTGTTGTCTGCAGTAACTGCCATAACTATTTAACAAAAGCAGGGGCATTGAACTTGACAATCATACCAACCACCGATTAAAGCGCGAGAACAAATGTCGTTTGAAGCAGACATAAAAAGTCGTCCTGTCGTCTGCAGTTACTGACAAAACTAATAACAGAACAGAGGCATTGGATTTGACAATCATACCACCGATTGGGACGCGGGAATAATGTCGTCTGAAGTAGGCATATAAAGTAAGGAAAATTTGCGTCAGTTTGTCTAAGAATCCAAGAAAATACAATTGTTCTTATCCTGTCCTTATACATTCATAAAAGATAATGGTATAATTAAACAGGGAATCGCCCTAATGAATTAAACGCGAGACAATTGTCGTCTGCAGTAACTGTCATAACCAACAGAATAGGGGCATTGAACCTGACGTTCTATTAAAGCACAGGAACAATGTCGTCTGCAGTGAATGAGTTAATTTTAAAAGTACATCTGACTACCTGACCCTATCTTGACTGTCGCCTGCAGAGCTCTCAAAACACAAGTGAGCTTTCCTTGCACATCCTCCGAATGAATTGAACGCGGGAACAACATAAATGTCGTTTGGCGTGACTGACAAATCTTCCTATATATCTATAACCATACGGTATTAGATGTTAGATTGATTGCAATGATCAGTACCTGTGAGTGGTACGGGATTCCATCAAGATAGGTTATTATTAAATCGTCGGACTAATGGCTCACGTCTGGATTAGAATGCTTTCACTTCCAAACCATATGCTGTGTTGCCCAGTTCGATCAGACTGCTAATATTTATCATTGAAGCTTTTTAGAATTTCAATCAGATAGAAGCATTAGACTTTTATTTCAATTCATAATTCGGAATGATGCAATAGAAAGAATTTTCTTGTGATGTTTGCGATGCCCAGACAAGATAAGATTTGAGTTCACATTCTTCGATAGCCCCATCAGTTCACTCATAAACAATTTCAATCAGTCAGAGTTGGTGATTGGAATTTTACATATTAAAATAAACATCCTTTCATGTGAGAGAAAAATATTTAGAAATGAGCAGAAATTAATGAGTTTCAACTCGAACTTTTGACTTTTAGTCGAATTTACCATGTGAGTAACATAGTATACATATAGGGTGGCGACCTAATTTCCGGTGGAGATGGTCATTGTTCAAAGTTTTTAGCATTGGCAATTCGAAAAGATGTATTTTTGGGAACATTGAGGATGGGGACAATTTATGACCATTCCCTTCGAGCAGGTGCCCGTTATTGGTTTTGTTGTTTGAAATTGTTGACTAGGATAAGATGCCCAACAATCTGATTAACATGCTT